CCTACGAAAGACTGATTTAAGACATTTTAATACCAATTAAGGCCTTAGTTTTATTTTGAAGAATTCAATGCCTTTTAAGACTTTTTAAGGAACCGTGGGAACCCTGTAGACGCCACGACTGATGAGGAACCGACACTGAACGGATGTCAACCATCAGATGACTGACCTGGAACTGACGGCCCATGGATGGCAGACGCTGTATATCGACCGGCGAGTTTCAGCATTCTCAACTTATACAAAACGTACCCATAACTTATCCAACGTATGCCACCGTTTTTGAGAGATCTTTTATACGTCAGACATACAGTACATACACTGTAAATCGAGTCCTTTTTTCTTAAAATAAGTGCATTCTAAGTGAAAGACTGCCAATAGAACAAGACAATTCACATTTAAAATAAGAAAAAATTATTCCAATGTCTGTTTTCAAGTCTGATCGTCTTATTTTAAACATAAATACTGATTCCATCGGCAAATCATTTAATTTACCTATTCAAATTAAGGATGAATGCACTTAATTTAAGACATTTTTACTTATTTCTAGAGTTTTGTTTTTTGCAGTGGTCTAAATCAGGGTCTTTAAAAAAGGTTTAATATTTCTGCAGATCATTTTAGGAATAAAAAATCTTTTTAAAGGCGTTTGTGGAAACATTAAATAGTCAAAGTTAATTGAAATTGCTTCTTCGAGTCCTGGCAAACATGAAGAAAATTGAACAGATCACAAACTCCTTACATCAATGCATTTTACGGGTTAATCAGTAACCACGTCCAATAACTCGCTCTGAATAAAAATAAACAATTCATCATTGAAACAATTGTTAACTTATCGACCTTATTTAAAAACATCCTTCATTAGAATTAGCGTAAAGTCTAGAATTAAACAGGACACAGAATAATCATTATTAAAGTGAATTTGTGGCGTTATTTTATTTTGTGATGTCACTTACGATGGCGTTCCTGCACTCGTGTCCTCTGCACAGCTCCGTGTAAGCCGAGTATTGCACGTAGAGAACCCAGCTGCCCACCAGCACGGTGAGCCACGTGAGGAACAGGTACTTCACCCGTACGAAGGAGATCCGAGCCTGGGAGGAAGAACCGCGCGCCGCAAGAACATCATTAGTGCAAATATCTGCTGTTTTCTGCTCTTTTTTTATGATACAGCCTATAATTACATTATAGAAACACAGTCACATTAAACAAGGAAGGACAACCAACCCTGACCGCATTACACGTTACTATGGCAACATGACTTTATTACCCTCTTGGCAAGTGAGTCTGTGCAGCAGTAAGATCTCTGAGATGCTTTTGTTTCCCTTCAGATAGACTTTTTATAGAGCGGAGCCCCTTTTTGTTTACAGACAGTAGAAGTAAATCGAACTCATGGCGGAGTCACAGGATGCCTGCGTCGCATTCCTTAGCACAGATCCGTGTCTCAGTCGTTAGCAACAGTAATTTAAAGTCCACAGTGACAAAGGTCAGGGTGAGACGGGACGGTAAAACAGACACGAAGAAATGATTCACTCCCTGCTGCAGCAAAAAAAATCAATTTAAAGGAAAAGTCACATTCAGAATTCAAACTTCTGAAAGTTCTTTAAAT